AATGAATATGAAATAATAAAAGCAAAAAATAAAGTTTCAAAATTTGTGAAAAATAAAAAATAAAATTGATTTTTTTCAAAAGCTTTGATATTCATTTTGGGGGAGTGGGAGTGCTGAGAGAAAGAAAGAATGAAACGTGGTAAGAATGATTATAAATGAAAAAAAATGGAACCAAAAAAGGTTTAGCCAGGTTGGTGGTCCAGATTGGAGCCAAAAAAGGAAATTCTAGTGCTTTACTGCAATGTGGGATTGTGAGTGCCCCACTCAATAGCTGTTTGAAGCCATCTGAAAACCAGTTTTTCCAAAATTTTCATTTATAATCACCTCCCAAGGAGGAGAGGGAGGCTTATGTGAGCAAAACATCCAGGGATATTTTGCTCACGTAAGCAAATACAGTAAACTTACCAATTGATATTGGTAAGGTTCAGAGCTTGTCAAGGGTTGGGTCAAAGGCCCTGCCCCTTGGTTAAGCTACCCGCCAGTACAGAACTGAGCTGTCTTGGCTCTTGGCTGGCGTGCATTCCCACCTGCCCCTCCAGGAGGGGCGGGTTCTTCTTCCCGCCCCTCGGAAACCTGTTTCCTTGAAAAAACAGGCTTCTGCGGGGTGGGGGCAGGGGAGGGGGAGGGGGAGGGGGTGCGTTTATCAACGCACATAATGCTTTTTGCCTTTACCTATTACTATCTTATCATTATCATTATCTTATCATACTTTATCTTATTTTGTCTTATTCATCCTGATGAAATATGAACTCAAATTATTACCTTATCCTTTCTTTACTTACCAATTAAATACATTTCTGTTTCATACATAAGTAACTATGACTTATTTTTCACTCCTTTATCCATGAAATATTTGTTCCACAAGCTGCACCTGTTCTACAGTATTTTCACAGTCAAATACCATTACAAATAAATATGAACTAGTATTGAATGTTGTGCATCAATTTTTAATAGAATTAATAAATTCAATACATGTATTCATTATTAGAGGATCAGTTAATGTGTACACATGAAGAGCAACTAGTACACAACTATTATGACAATTACTTGATCTTGATCACTCCAAAGAATGAACAGAAACTCAATTGATGTGCTCATTCCCCAGGCCCAATATCCCTTAGTTCTGAGCACTCATTCCTTTCACTACAAGCAATACCCATTTTGCCCCAAAAATAAATGGCAATTTGGGTGAGGGAAAATGGATCAATTTTCTGGAAATTTTTTCCAAAATGCCTCAGGAGTAGAAATTAGGCTAAACTGAGCTATTTTAGCCCAGAGATAGAAAATCCTCAAACATTCCAAAATGAATTTTTAGCTGATTTGAGACATTTTTATTTTTTGGCCAAAATAGCTCATTTTAGCCTAATTTTTTACTCCTGAGGGATCTTGTAAAAAAAGTGCCAGAAAATTGATCTATTTTCCACCATCCAAATTGCCATTTTTCCTTGGGGCAAAATCGGTATTGTTTGTAGTGTTTCCTCATTCAACATTCTGAAACTTATAATCCATGCCACTTTCACTGATTAATCTCCAGAATATTCAGGCACCAGTTAAACGCAGTTAGAATTTATTTTGATACATTACAAGTACCTCAACTTAAATCAAGTTCTTATTTATTGTTCTTGAGCTGCAGTCAGCAAGTCTACTTATCCACAACACTCAAGACCTTGCTGAATATTCCATTAACAATTCTGATAACCTTCAGAAATTTTGTTAAAGCTTATCAATTATTGTTAGCCCTTTCCCTTTGGGGAATAACCAATCCCAGGTGAGTCTTAGTACCCTGGATTCCTATTAATATATTGATCTGCATGTGCTGATGATATAATTAAGCCTCTCAGTATAGACCAAACTGATAGAGTGAAACCTCCTATTTATAGACCAAACTGATAGAGTGAAACCTCCTATTTACAGGACAGGTAGTAGACACACAATAAATAAAACTCACCACAGTACAACTCATCAACCTCCTAAGAACAACCTTTCTCCATTGAATACTCAGGCTAGTTACCAAGAGGCTGGCACACTGGTCATCAATGGCAACTGAACAGGAGCAGAGAAAAATGGTTGTGGTCCAACAGTACAATCAATGAGCTGATCCCAACATACATAACATGGTTCAAACTGGCCTCTGGATCTGATAGTGAATGAATCAAGAGGGACTTCCTTGTCACTCTGCTCCAATTGGCCCCTCCTGCGAGTCCAATAAGGATCAAAATTTGATTGAGTTTCTCATCAAAAGCATTACTGACATATTCTCCTTGAACTGCTTTGAGTTCCCTGCTTTTTACTTTCAGTCAACTTCATAATCTTATCTTTTTTTTTCTCAAGATGTATCAGTGAGAGGTAAAGAGTGATTGGTTTTGTTCTTGTAAATTTATGCAGTTGGCCTTTTGAAAATTCAAACTTTTCAATAGAGCCCACTGGCCCATTGTAGTAACTCAAATGAAGTAAATTTAATGAAGGCCAACTTGAGTTTAGTAGTAAGTGACTCCTTGATCTTTTTCTAAGATGTTTGGTGGCCTGCATATATATCTGCCTAATGGTTAACATGTGCCCCACCCCACTGGCTCAACAGCATAGGTGCAAGCTTACTAGTCCACACTTCTATCTCCACATCAAACGCACACCATTCAGTCAGTGACCTGTGATCAATCCCCCCACAAAGCAGACCAATATTCCCATCATGAAGTACATCTGGCTCAAAACTCCAATGCTACTTGTATTCCTTCTCGGGGTTTCCAAGATGTTTCTGATCGCGGCACATCAGTGCCCAATGCTGAGGGTTCTCCCTGACCTAAATCCGGAGCCACATCACATTGACACAATCACCATTTCTGTGGATGGTTACAGAGTGCGCTATCACAAATTCAGATGCAATTTATGTGATGCAACTTGGAGTGAACAGCAATGGAAGAAAAAGGAACCCTATCACCCACTAGGTCCATCATCATAGCCTTGCATTGAGCCACTGCATCATTATGCTTGCATTTGCTACAAAACTTGTTTTTTTTTTGCCTGCATCTTCACCTTTTGGAATTTACACTTTAATATACACATCTCTAGACTCTGGATATATAGGAAAACTTTTGAAATATTGGAGAAAACTGAAGTATTGGAAAAAAACTGAAATGTAAATGTGGTGTTGATTCTGGTTGATAAAGGTTTGGCAATGGGGTCCTGGGGAAACTTTACCTCACCAGTAGTAGTACCATTGCAAGTCGTCTTATCCTATGAATCAAAGGGATGTCCACACTCATCAACATACATAATTGAGGACAGCATACTCCCTGGAGAAATTTTCAACCACATAGGACAGTGGGGGAATTTTTGGGATGCACTGGTAATGAACAACTTATTTGCAAGTTGACAAGTCTTTGGAAAACTAAACCAGAGCCTTCTAGAGTGACTAAGCCAAATCATGTTCAAGATTGGTTTGAAATATAAATTCAGGCTTATCACATTTCTAATCAAAATTCATGTACTTTTTTTCATTCATATTGCCATTGGCCACATTTATATCTACAATGTGAAAAGAATTTAAAGGAGCTGATGAAATCATATGATTTAGGGAAATTTTTTAGAGGCTTTTATTGGAGGGTGCATCATCATAAGCTTTGAAAAGAGCTCTACCAATTTCGAAAACCTCAGCCCATCTTTGAGGATCATCAAACTTCATCAGTTGAGAAGTAGAGCTTTTATTTTTTCCTTTTTTCCCTTTTTTTCGCTTAGGTGATCGAGGGAATAACTCTCTTTCGGTTGTCCACGGATTCCAACCATGAACATAACCTTCGATTTCACTCTTTGGGATGAGTTTTTCAAGGAACCTTTGTGATTGTTGAGCTTGGCCTAGCCAGCCTCTGAGTTCCTTGGAGCAACGCTGCCACAGATACGATACGCTGTGTGTATCATGGAGAATTCTGCAAAGCTGCATGGCCAAAAACCAAATTTGTTGAATCTCCTTGCAAATAAAAGCAGATTGGTCAGATAGTTTTTTTTATTGGGGCTCAGATACATAGTGATACATGGCAGATACGGGCAGATACCGTATCTGTGGCAGCGTTGCTTGGAGGGCCCAAGCTGGGACTGGTAAGTAGTGTATTTTCGCCAGATGGCGATGTGCTCGTGTGCCAGGTTTTTGATCCACTCGTCGTGGGTGAGCACATGGATCTCGCAAGCCTTGTCGATCGCGTTGATGGTCGCCAAGGACTCCTGCGACGAACCGCCGAGTTCCATTCCTGCTTGGGATGTTGCTGTCGCCGCAGGGTTATCCGACTTATTCATCGGGGGCGACTGCAATCTCCTAATCCCTTCTAGAAGTGGATCATCTTCAAGCGAAGATAGCACAATGTAAGCAAGTGATACATAGTTTGATTGAAAGAAGTGAAGTAAAAAAGCTTACCCAGGTCATCAACTTCAATTGCAACATCAGTCGCGACCATATCACCGTTAGATTCCGAGACAATTGACACTTCAGAATGTGAGAATTGAAAGACGCGATTCAGTTCAAGAAGGGTTAGAGATCGAATGGCAGAGTCTTACATTTACTGAATCTTTCCAATTCTGCCGTTTTTTTCCTGGTTTGCATGTATATTTTTTGGACGCCCTAAAAAACACTGACCTGATTGAGGATGATGATCAAAGGACAAATGTGAAGGGAAGATAAGGGGCCTTGAGTATGTGTTCTGGGATATATTATAGAGGGTTTTCCAAAGATCCCAAATTCTTATACAATGGCTATGTACTGGGTGGGTAGTCAGGATGATGAGCTATGGGTACAGTTGCTCTGCGTTCATCATCTGAGGACAGCCTGCACACCTTTAGAGAAATCTGAACCAGTGTGTTGTAGTTGTTGGACAGTCAGTCAAGCTGCGATATGTACCATTGCTAAGGTATCTCTCGGTGCTCTGCGCGTAGCAGATACGCAGGGAATTGCAATTCCATTATGGATTTCTTTTTTCTTCTGATTGATACCAAAACCAGCCCAGCAAACGGAAGAACTGGTACAGCGTATGTACGTATTTCAATGCAAACAGATAAATTGCAGCACCGACATGATGATGATTGGACCACTAATACAACTGAAATATATTTGAAAAAAAACACGTTCACATGGGGGGAGGTTGATGTTTTGTTTTGTGGTGATTGGATTTGTTCATACTTTCTTTAAAATACAGCTCAGTAAATGTGTTTTACACCAAGTCTTTGTGGAGAAGTTGCAAAGGAGTTCATATACATATGTCAGACTCAAAAATAGAAAAAAATACGACCGTTTTTGGGGATTAAACGTGTTGGGAAAGGAGGTGATTCGGGAATGTCACATGCCGCTTCCAAGGACCTTGTTGACTTGAGATCTGAGGCCAAGTAATGAGGAAATGACTCTACAGGCGAGCAAAAAGATCCCCAATAAAAAACCCGGGTCAGACTCTTGGTGTGTCCTAGCAGATAGATAATATCATGGTGGGGTTCTTACCCTGCTCCTCCAATCACGCCATCGTTGAGAGAATGGTAGCCCAATGTAGACGACGGCGATAGAATATCACAGAAATCTTGGAGCAATTGCAATCGTACAGCGAAAGCTTGCCTACAGAAACGTAGAGGGAGAAAGCTCTATCTTTTAGTGATTTGTGGGATGATGAGATTCAAAGAAAGATGCAGGTCGAGAGATACTGACGCAGAGATCGACTGGATCTGATACTTCTTTTCTTCCTTTTCATGTTCGCCAAACGACTTGTTAGCCCGTTTGAGCCTGCGAAGCTTAGATTGAACTTGTTGGTGCTTGTAGATCCCGCTGATCACGTTCAACGAGATCCCAGCCATCCAGAATTGGGCTGCTCGTTTATTGACCAACGCTAGTTCGACTTTGTCAAGCGAAATGAACTTGATCTTTTCAGCCTAAAGACGATTTGAATAGAGTAGGTCAGAGTCAAGTTGGAAGCTGCGCAGGGATTTGAAAATTCGTACCCAAATCATCATGTCGTTGAACAGATAGATTGCATACGATATTTGTCGGCCAACCGCACAGACCCCGACGACCGGATCGGACATTTCTTTGGTCACTTTGAGGGCAGCTTGTAGATGCTCCAAGGGCTTCCCAAGCCGCATGACTGTGGATTTTCTTGTCCATACGATCGTCATGATCAGTTTTCAATTGTCCATCTGATCTGGAATTTTTCCCTTTTTCAATATTTTTTTGTAAGGATGGTCACGGGTATACTCACGTTTTCGAGACACTCCTAAGGCTGATTTGAGGTTGTTGAACCTCATGATCGTTTGTTTATCATATCCATTTTTCTCGAAACTGTTTGAATTGGCCAACCATCAAGAAAACCGTAAGAAAAAGAAAAACTCGATGAAAGAGAAGAGTCTTCCGCGAAGAATGTTACTTACTACCAGACCAAGAAACGAGAAAAGTACTGGATGGTACGGTAAAGTTTATCACGACCGACTGTATGAATATTCCATCATTGAACAGGTTACATAGTCAGCCATAAAACGAGATCTGACTAAGGGCTGTGAATAAGGGGACAAACCAGTTGTGTTTCCGACCTTGAGGGAGCTGGAGATCACGGGATGGAAGATGACTTGGTTTGCGATACTGGCCATTATGGGCAGCCTTTGACGATGTATGTATCTGGTGGGGGCAGTTTGTAGTTGACCGGCAGAGGATTGTTGAGGTGGAAACTGTTGGAGAAGCCTCTGGTCCAACTCTGACGTAATCATATCCCTGACATGTCACAGAAACCCACAGGGCTGTCACACGCTCACATCCTAAACTTTCTCCATCTCCAATCGATCGAGACCTGCATCTGGGAGCCAAACTTTTTGGTTATAAGGAGGAAATTCAAGGACTAAACATTCAACTGCGTGAAGAAAGAATCGCAAATTTCAATCCCTGGTCACCCTATACTACCTACCTTCCTCAACAAAGCAATGGATTTGATTTACAATGTGAAGCACAGTACGTTCCAATTGTACTGCTACAATTTGATGAATGAGACACAAAAACCAGCTCGAGAAAAAAGCCCACTTGTGACAGAATAAATGATGAGATTAGAGAATAAGCAGCAAAATTTAAGACATAAACTGTTGCACAAGGTCTCAGACATAGTCTTGGTTGACAATCATGCATTGGGACATTCACCAGTCCCAACCAGAAGAAGTGAGATGGGCTTTTATTTCAGAAAAAATTGGATTCTCATGTGACATTGAGGTCGTGAGCCAGATCTGATGAGAATAGTATAAAAAAGAATATTCAAGTTGAGTTATCGTTTCTTCGATTATCCCATCATCGGTCAAAAATCCATCTGCCAAGGTAACTGAGGTGATAGGACTTGTTAAGGCCTATAAATTCATGTTCCATATGGAACTTCAGATTTATAGTTAGCTTTGCCTTTGGCAACGGTTTTGTGTGATGGAATGCGGGAATTGATTTGTGTGGATTACTAAAATGGACGTATATGTTTCATTTTTGTTTGTGACTCTTTTGTCGGAAAGGCTTTGATTGGAGGAGGATTATGAGGGGGTGGTTTGCAGTAGTCTGCATATGTGAACCGGTTTCCGCTGAGTCATGAGCGGACGAGAAAGCTACGCAACTTGCGCCATGATGCGCCTTAATCTGAACAAGGGCCCTCCTGCATTTCCTGACATCTGTGCACCCTGTCGCTACTCGGCGAAATCAATAATTACGCAATGCCTTCTCTGGGGAGCCGGAATACGGTAAATTAATAAATTGGACGAGTGATATAGGTATACATTATTAGGATCTTGCTGACAGGGTACAAAATACAAGAAACGAAATTAATCCGAAAGACGGGCTACATTTACTATTTGAATAATTTAATTTTACCGTTTCACTTTGTCGCTCTTGCCCAAATTTGCCGCGTAATCAACAGATCCAAGTTTTGACGTTGAGCGGGGTAACAACATGGCGAAGGAGTTAAACTGATCAGGAAGAGTTTTCTGGGGTGGGAATGAATGGGCTAGTAATTGGATACCAGAAGAAGCGGAATTGTTTAACTTGTCCAAGAATTTCGACTTGGCAGTCTTGAGTTGATTGAGCGTCCTGGTAGCCAAGCTTGAGGAGACTGCTCTGCGTGCTCGCACACTGGGAGCCTGGAAGACGACTGGCTGTTTCGGATGTCCATTCCGGATGGCTTCAAAGTCCACATTTAGCACATGTTCAAAAGCTTCCAGACCTATGATCCGGTTCAATAGACGTTCAAGATAATCATTCAACTTTTGGTTGGTCTGTCGCAAGTCTTCTACTTCATCACTCTTTGTCTTTTCATTCAATTTCCTCATTTTCAGGAGTTTGGAGTGGCTTTCAGAGGATGAAGTTGAGGGCCGTTTGCAAGAAGCTTGTGAGATTTCTGCAGCCAGACTACCCTCAGGTATTGGGTTTTCGGCTTCAAGTTCTGGCTGGCCGACCTGTCCAATCATCGAGTTTTCGGTTTCGAGTGCGTGCTGGTTGAGTTGCTCAATCAGCTCTTGCTGAGCATAAGATTTATCGACGACGTCAGTGTAGGCTTGATGCAAGTCCTCCAGTTCGGCGTTCAAATTTTGAATTGTAACCTCCATAACGTCGAGAGTGTCCACATATGCAGGGACCAACTCACGGAGCTCGGTCAGCTCTTTCTTGATCTCTGGAGGAATTGGCGGAGGGATGGGCTGAGTGTTTTCGGGCTTTGGTGAGGAAGGATGAGTTTCGCTTTCTGACAGAGTATTCCGCCGGGCGTGTTTGAGAGAATCGGCTAGAGTGTTGATACGGGCCAGCAGGCGTTCACGGTCTTCGGCCCAGGACAGTTTTTCTGCTCGAAACGTCTCTTCCTGTTAATGAACACGACGCGGGAGTCAGGATAATACCTTTCGTCTAGACCCGCTTGGAAAGATAGAGAAACTCACCCGCAATTCAGCTCTTCGGTTTGCATCCGCCACAGATTTCTTGAGACTCTTGATCTCCGACCGTGCAGATTCCAACTGGGGCTCCAAGCTGGCGAGATCATGTAGACGTCCGTCCAGACGCATACAGTCTACATATCGACTCTCGCTGGTCTGAAGCGCTAAGGTCAAGTCGTTGGTCTTCAGGTCAAGCTGCTTTTCGAGGGACCATCTCGTGAGATTGGCCTCTTTAACAGCCGCCTTCAGCTCTTCGCATTCTTGTTTCTTTTCTTTAAGTAGCTTGAGCACCTTCAGGTTTGCTCGACCTTCGAAGCTCTCTGGGTCATCTGATGAGGCCATTTCGGAAGTGCTGGAGTTCATTGGAATGGGAGGTGAGGTGCTTGATGAAATTTGCGCTGGAGTGGGGTGCTTGCTTGGGAATCCGAAAAGTACTGATATGGCTTGCAGATCGGGTGTATTGATGAGCGAGAAGAGGGCTTCAAGACTCGGTGATCCTGTCAGAGGGATGTATTTATGGGCGACGGCGTTCGCTTGGAGTGATGGATTGAAAAGCATCGGAGTTGCCAAAAGCGTGAAGGAGGATATGCTTTTGTTCTCCTTCGTCACTGAGAGCTTTCCTCCCATGACGAAGTTGACATTCAAACTGTCCATGAAAAGCTTCGATTGAAGCAGACCTCCAGCCTCGCGAGAAGAAAGTAATGCTCCCGAGTGAAATGTATCTTGCAAAGGTTTGGGTGAGCTTCTATCCAGATTGGTGGGGTCGTTTTGTTGCGGAGCCTGAATGTCGACGTTCAAGTCGGATCGTTAGTTTGCCGATAGATTTGATAACACGGAAACAGTCGAGAAAACTTTTGTCTATCGAACAAGGGTGCAGATAAAGGCGTGCACAATCGGGTAAAGGAAATCTTCCATTCGACAAGAAAACAAGATTACAAGGAAACTTGGGTTGGTTTAAATACATACGATGGGCACAAACGCATCCACACTCAGTCAAGCGGCCTATGAGAACGTGTTACAAAGAAAAACTGCTCTCAGGGTTGGGAGGGGAACCCCCTAATGTGAAGCTAGTGCTTTCCACTGAGGAGGGTTGTTGGCAGGTTATGACGACAAGCTTGAATATACTTTTAGAGACTGAGCCGGACTGAGCACACGAGAAATATGTTTGCGGGTTGTTTTAGGAAGACAGTTGATCGACAAGAAAGTCTTCACGACAAACAAAGAAACATACCTTGAATCAGGAGGAAACTAAAGTCTTCTTTAGTCTACATGCGCTTTCATTGGTGAAAGCTCTCGAGTCCTTCCAAGTCAGGTGCATTGATCAGTGGTTGAAGCCAGGGCATTAAAAATCAAAAGCACAGCGTATGTACGCCCCGAAGACGATGTAGAACTTGCTCGCTTTTTACCACACAATAAATCTATACATCTAATTTGCGCCGATATCGATGGTGCACCACTTGATGACGGCCAAGACGAAATCCGAGATAGTCCGAGATCCTACGTATGCCATGATCCAAAGCTTCCGGTGTCTATACTGTGTGTCATCGTTGCCAACGGCTTCTCAGCATTATGTTCGTATCGTGACTGACTGTGACTCGTTCACCGAGGATACACACCGGTGGAGAATAGAGTGGCGTGCAGATCGCATCCATCGTCCAGCTGATCAACCAGGGTCCAGGGCTGACTTGTGCACCTCCCACCGATCAGCCATTAACGCAGCTGCTCAACTTGCTCGAGTTTCTCATGCGTGGTGGCTTCACTGATCCTCAATTGTAAGATTCGGAGGTCGAATCGGCCCGACTCTGACTCGGGAGACGGGCTTGCACTTCGGATGCCGTCATCATCAATGTTCCTTTAATTCCATGCTTAACGCCGCGAGAGCAAGTTCAACTAGCGAAATTCCGATAGTGCACAATTTAAGGGCCGAGACTGCTGATAACTTACGTACATAATGGATTCTCATTCAAGTCTTGAAAATGGTACTTAAATCGTAAATCATCCTCTTGATAAGATGTCCGATAGCATGGTGTGTCTGTATCATTATGTGTGCATCATCAAGTTTTGGGCCTAACATATACCACCGCAACGCCAAGACTTCACTTCCAAGTCCACTTTGGACCCTTTATCTTTGGAACGCATCCTTTTTTAATGCTCGTTGGCCGTATTTTGTCCGACATCTGGCAGATTTGTATGTCCTCAATCCCCTGAGTCCCCGTGAGATAGACCTGAACAACCGGCATATGTTACCTTGAACGAAATGCACATCTGCGTGGCGCCTACTGGGATCACCAGCCGTTTTACTCTTTTCGGGGAGGAGGAGAAGGTACTTGGTGAAATAAAGTGAACATGGTACCAGACCACTGCGGGTCTTCCAACCGTTCTTGCCAGTTTCAATGGAAAGGTCGAGTAATCTAACATTTTTAAAGCTGTCAGAAATATCCAAACACATTTCCTCGTAGAACAAAGCCTTAAATTCTTGAGTCTAACATGAAGAAGCCCTTTTATGATTTATTCGGAGGTCAGTTATGGTCATCGCACGAAAGCAGAACTTGACACAACCGAAATGCACATTGAGCCACGAATACACTGCAAAGGAAGTAGACCTTTTGAGTTGTCCAGGGAGAACTTCATGGAAAATAAGGACTGATTTGATCTTGATGTAATTTTTTGCAATTAGATATTCAACGCGGAAAGAATTAGATGGAAGATTTTTTGAGGCAAATTATTCAAAATGAGGATACAAAAAAATTGAAAGTCTTCTCAGTTTCACTCCCACGTCCGATTTGGAAGTTGAAGTGCAGTAACAAAAATGCGATGCATGTGAATCGTCAATCGTGCGCTTTGAAGTTGCGCACTTGTGACTATTGAGCGAGGAGAAGAACTGGTGCCGGGGGGGGGGGGTACTATTTCCATACGTGGTTCATTACTTCATGACTTTGACAAATAATCATATTAACATGACAAAATTGAAAATACCATGTGCTTCAAATAAAAACTGTTTGCGCTGTGTTTTTGTGGAGAATTTGGGGGGGGGGGGGCGCTGTGAATCGACTGGGAGCTGAAGAGGAAAGCACAAGATGTTAAAATAACAACAGCAGCGATCCACATACTCAAGACTGGACTTCTGCCAAAATAGTATGCCGCCGATTTTGCAGATGTCCCATCGAAACGTATGAATTGATGATCAACTTTTTTATGACACAAAGGGCAATGCATAACATGAACGTTTGATGAGCTTCGAGAAGGACAGGAGTTTTCCGGCCAAACCAGGCGACGTTAAGCATTTTTTGACCATTTTGATGATTTACCAATTTTCTCAAATAAATGTACACTTGAAGGACTTCCCGTCATTCTTCTATCTCTCAAATCCAGCCTGACTACTGGACCTTCAACTTCCGGCCCCCATCATCATCTTAGAGTCTGTCAAACTGGATTTCCCTACAGAAATTTAGATTTTTCTGGTCTGAATTGAAATCTGAAAGGGCTCCAGAATCAATAGTTCCCCACCAAAAAAATATTTACACATTTATTTATATTACAATCATTTTGTTATTTTTGGGTGAAATTTAAAATTACAGAATCGTTTTCTACTTTGGGGATTTGCCTGCTCGAGCCGGTGAGCCTCCGGCGGATGCGGCTTTGGCTTCGGGTAGAGTATCTATGAAAGCTTTCAACAAATCCCTTCCATTCTTGGTTCCAGAAGCTGATGGCGGAGTTGATTTGGGTACTCCTGCCTCTGGAGGTGCTGCCCGCCTGGCGGATTTCGAGGACTTTCCTGCGCCGCCCCCACCCATGATCATACTCTCTGATCTCTTCAAAAGTTTAGCGAAGCTCTGAGCAGCCTTAGGCGTCAATGGTGGAGGAGGATCGGCCTTCTGGGACGCTTCCAGCCTGGAAAAAATCTCGAGCGCCTTTGTTTTGCCGACCTGACTGCTGCGGGGGGCTGCACCTGGTGTTACTGATGACTTCAAGAACTCCATCAACAAGCCCCTTACATCCGCCTGTGTGATGCTGCCACCTACAAGCCACTGCTTGGATCCACCTCCGGTAGGAGCGGCACCGCCAGCGGGAGCGGCGGGAGTATTTCCGTTACGTTTCTATATCATGCCATGGAGAAGTGGTCAGGCTCAGTCACACTCCATGGATCGGGTCGCAAACTATTGGTATGTCTGAGGAGTGACGTACATGCACCATCCAGTTTTCCTTGATTTCATGGTCGAGAGATCGTCTTTTCCCAGCAGAACCGCGGCCGCCCTGAACGGTAAGAACACTTAACGACATCAAGGTGCATAATAAAAAAATAAAGAACTGCATAATGTTTGAACGTGATTTGTTGGGGGTTGCGCTTCTGTGACCGTGGAGAATTGAGAGGGTACAGGTCTAAATGACTATATTTGAAAACTATCTAAAGCCAATTATAATTGAAGAAGGAACCTTGCGATTGACAGATTTTCTTTGCGAGCTGGGATGAGGGAGGAAAAACGAGATGAGAAAGGAATACATTTTATGGAAATATTCTGCTTGCCATCGAAACGGGTATGAGGTCTAAAGACAACGTCACATAGATTTGGATGTCGTGTCATCATCATGTAATCGTGGTTCATGCCTCGCCCAGATAGACCCGCAAGTTACTGAGCTCAAGGTATCCCTGCTACGATGAACGGGAGAGCTACATTTTGAGCATGCTGACTGACTCGTTGGACAAATCAGTCCGACAATTACTCGGGCTGACTATGCCCGACGAGTTTAGCAACCCAGAGGTGATGGGCTGCGCAACTTGTTGGACAAAGTCACTCCGACAACTTCTCAGACTGATTTCTCCGACAAATTCATCGATTCACAATTAGCAGTAACCTGTAAACTAATAGCGCGCGTAACAAGTTGGCTTGCCACGGTACAGGCACTGCAGTAAAATCACTTCAACATATCAAATCACGACGGTTACTCCGCACATGAAGATTGCTTGGCGAGGTGACATGAGACTTTTAAAAGAATCGATTCTCCGACCCGTGATTTTTGTATATCAATATACGAAAAAGTATAAATACATAAAATGAAAAGAAGGAACTAATGAACGACGAGCTTAGAGTTGATGGATATGTTAGTATCACAATGATACGACTTAGAGAGAACAGCGACGAGAACCAACCTGAACACGATGAGAACAAAAGGTTAAGACTTTGAACAACTATAATGTGAAGAGAAAGAAATACTAACCTGAGTTTGATGGATGAAGTTGGTTAGCGGGTTGTAGATAAGAAACAATTTAGTTGATTGAGAAAAGAACCAATACAATAAGGTGATTCATCAAATAAATTGACCCATGTGGTACGCGTTTTTGGTCAAAAACGTTTACTGCCAACAAAATTGGAAATTGGCGGTCCACGGGCGGTACAGTGGAGGACTTCCCGTTGCCATTTAGAGCGCTTTTTAAGCCCTCCCAAGTCCTAAATTAACACCCCAATTGTAATTTCAACCATTTCACATGAGACTAGTTTTTGCAAGGCTTGTAAAAAAATATTTTTTTTGGCCAAAAATTAAGATCTAGGGGGTGTAAATTGCATTCTGGGAGGGTTCTAGATTGTGACGGGAAGTCATCCAGTGAACTACACCACCAGAGCAGTTTAAGCTGCTCCGGTCTATCCACCCAACGTCAAAGCTTTGACCGAAGGCGCGGTCATCTTGTCGCCAGGTTGACGGTCCTCACACAGTTGGGATGACTCTGCGGTCACGATCCCGTCAGGCTGACAGCTGGCCTGCCCTGCCGGTCATGCCGTCGGTTTGCGTTTGCGCGATCGTCACCCCGCCGTGCCGCTATCAGTCGGGGTCGACTCACTCGTCGGACCGCTGGCTTTCTTGTTGCCGGGTTGACTGTCCCGTCAGACTTCCGCCTGTCTTGCAGTTGGCTCTGACTTGGCCATCAGACTGCCGACTGTCATGCAGTCGGCTCTGACTTGGCCGTCAGACTGCCGACTGTCATGCAGTCGCAGTTGACTTGCCCGTCAGGCCATGATTATGGGTATCGTCGAAGCTCCTTTCAGGATGTGATTGGTCAGGATGACCGGAGTGCAACCGCCGCGCTGACGTCAAAGCTACAGTTTAAAAATGAATTCTTGACTCTATCAGAGCTAACCTTTTCAAGAAAAAGCTCGAGAAAAGTTGGTCTTGAAACAAAAAAAAATTAAAAATTAAAATGACTTAGAGAGAAAAAAATTCCAAAGACCTAGAATGGCGTATTATATGTTAGAAATTAGCAGGATAAGTCAAGTGGTATATGGTGGAGCGGTGAGAACAACCACCTGATGGCTGGTCGCCCCGGTTCAAGTCCTCTAAGAATACAACCTTTTTGATGGATTGAGTGGCCAAGACTCGGAGTCTGGTCCGGACTCCATTTTTTTTATCTCACGGCATGAGAATCCTGACCGCCTCAGGCCAGCAGCCCGACCAAATCACCCCAGAATCTAATCTCAGGGTCTTTCAGCACCCTGAGACAATGTACTGGCGTCAGCGCCATGCTGACGGCCGACCGCTTGCCCGCCGGGCAGATATGCGTTGGTGTGTTGACCACCCCGACCCCATGGCTGCAAATCTGACTAACTGACGTCGGATTTCAGGAAGGTTAAGCAGGGTCGGGGCTGGGCGGTTTGACCGGCGAGCACTTTGCCGGGCTGCGGTCGAGCTGCTCTGGTGGTGTAAGTTAAGTTCAATAGAAACAATATTACTAACACCATTTCATATTTTCAGCTCTCATTTTTCTTTTCATTGAGTCATAATTTTCTTGTTTAAAATTACCACTTATCTCAGCTAAAAAATCTCAATTCACTTGGTTAAAAGTATTTGAATTGTTTTTCAAAACATCATAATTTTCTCTGATGAAAAGTTAACATTTATCCAAAAAAAGGACATCACTTTGTTTCACAGATTGTTTCTGCATTGGGAGGGTTATTAGGCAGCAATCATAAACAGTTTCTGTTTTTACTTTGAGATTTGTTTTAACGGTTTTCAATTTCAATTTGTTTTGGTTTTTGAAATGCAATGTAGTGAAAAAAAAACCAAAAATCTTTCATACAAGATGGAATTATGGTGTTCAAAATTACCTAAATATCTTTTTACTTATTGGCATAATCCTGCATAATCTGAAATTTTGGCTGGGACCTGTCAATTTGAGTTTTAAGTATGCTGACAGGTCCCAGCCAAAATATTACATTATGCAGATAAGTAAAACTCACTTAGGTAATTTTGAACACCATAAATTATAAACACACAGACAAAGGGGTTTTCCAGGGGTTTTTTTTTTCTTTTTTTTCAAACAACCTCCTGGATATGCGGGCACTAGTGTGCCAAATGAGTCAAGAACAAGAATAAAAACATTTTTGTGCCCCTGAAATGCCAAATCATCTCAAAATCAATTTTTTGAAATAACACCCACCTGCCATATCATCAATTTTTGGGAGTCATTTAACCAAGCCCCTAAAAAATCTTGTTTATTATTGCTGTCTTAGGCTAAATTCAAGAGTTTTTTGAATCAATTTGGCTTTTCCCTGCTTAGGGTTGGTTGTTTAGGGCACAACAAGTAGTGCTAGTGCCCAATCCTCAATTAAATTAGCGCTTAAAAAAGCGCAATCAGGGGACCGATACATACCAACCTCTTCCCATGGCTTCCCTCTTTTAGACTAGATGCATCGTGTGGCAGACAAGGTGTTAAGGGCCTCAACAGTGATTTGTCAAGTATAAAGCCCTGCCTGCATGTTCTAAGATTTGTTTTTAATCCTTTTCAAGGTGTTATGCGGCCTCAGCAGTGAGTTGTCAAGTACAGTCACCTACCAGATGTTTATAGCCAGTTTGTTTGGATTACACAACCCTAAAGCACCAAATTGAAATCATGAGACTTGATCAATTGGTATAAAACAGGTTTCAAAAAATGATTCTGGAAACAAAAATATGAAAAACTAATTTTTGAAATTTGCAAAAAATATTACACTTATTGCACTTTTTTCAAAAGTTTCAATGTTGCTCCGAATGAAAAAATAAAAATGGGAAAGAGTCGTATGGTATGCAAGGAAAATGATAATAAATGAAAAAAATGGACTCCAGAAATTATTCAGAGCTCAGTATCCAGGTCAAAATGCAAGTTGAATTTGATCACACTGCCTTTTCCACTGTATTTTCCACTGAGTCTGGTGGACGCCCCACTCCACACCAGTTTAAAACCATCTGGTATTTATTTTTTCCAAAATTTTCATTTATTATCATTCCTCCAGCATACCCTACTCCAATTTCCAATTTTTCTTTTTTCATTTGGAGCAATATTAAAACTTCTGAAAAAAGTGCAATAACCAACGGTGCCACAGAGACGATACGATACGGTATCAGGCGTTTATCTGTATCGTCTCAGAATTGGAATACCCAAAAATACCGGATTTGTGTTGTCTCACTTTCCTGAGACATATACATGTATCGTATTTGAAAAGTGAGAAATGTATTCTGTATCGTCTCAGATGACTGATCCCACCAAAACCGTATTTGATACATAAGATACTTGGCTGTATTGAAGAAAAAACGAAAAAAACGAAGACGAATTTTTTTTTTTTTCATTTTTAAATCCAAATCCGATACAATGTATTTTTTCACCAACCAAGGAAATACTGATACCGGTATCAGGCTCAAAATAAATACGATACGATCCGATACAAATACATGTCTCGTCTCTGTGGCACCGTTGCAATAACTGTAATCTTTTTTGCAAATTTTAGAAATTAGTTTTTCATATTTTCGTTTTCAGAATCATTTTTTAAACCTATTTTATACCACTTGCCCAAGTCTCATGAATTCAAGTTGATGGGTTGGGGTTGGGCAATCCAAACAAACTGGCTAAAAACATCTGGGAGGTAACTGTACAAAGCCATGCCAGCATGTTCTAAGTTTTTTGAAATTCTTTTTTCTCACAAAATCATAACCCAAATAAAATGTATGTAATTTTGGATAGCCATAAAATCCAACTGGCAAAAATTTTTTTTGTTGAACTATTGAGGCTCATGGTTTCCTTTTATTCATTTACAACTGATGTGGAATAGTAGTTATTGAAACCTTCACCACAGGTTGAGTTTTGGAAATGGCACTCTTTTGACTTGACCGCTGTGGTGTGCTGTGCCTGTTCCAATGCCAAAAGCATACAGCAGAGGTGTTGGGATAGCATAGTTACATACATGTGACAATCATTACAAGAGAAGGAACAATCATTATGGATGAGGTGGGGTATATACGGACAGGATTACATACAA